CATCCAGATACAACATGGTCCATTGTCTCTTCATGTTGCGAACACATTCTGCATTTGCTCTCCACTTGCTGGCCACATATTACTTTCTGGTAATATCTGGTGTTTAATGCCTGGTCTTGAGCTGCTACAAGTAGACCCTCTGTTTCTCCTTTCAAATTACTTGACAACCATTTGTTGGTGGTGACTGTGTCTACATGAGGCTTCTCTAGGATCTTTGGATACTGGCCATGCAATGCTTTGTTTTTCCACCTTCCTTCTTTCATTGACTTCATCTTGGACTTAAACACGCGTTTCAGGGCTTTAGCATTTTCAGAGGCAGATTTATCTTCTCTGCATGTTCTCAATCTCTGGCATTGTTACTTCCCTTTTGAATTTAGTAGCATTCTTGAATATTGAATTTTTGGCTTTAGATCTTTCATGTTCAAGCACCTGCTTTGGATATTGCCCTTCTTTGTGCTTCAGATAGTGATCAAGCCCCACTGTTGCTGTTTTGAATGCTGTTTCTACATAAATCAGGCCCCTACCTCCATCTTTTCTTGGGATGTACAGCCTTTCCACATCTGCTTTAGGATGTAACGTCTTGTGCATGTTCAATAGTTTGCGTGTTTTTGTGTCAATCTTCTTCAGTTCTGAGATTTTCCAGTCAATGATGCCAAAGCTATGTTGCACAACTGGGACTGCAAGACTATTTATAGCTTCCATTTTGTTTCTTCCATTGAGCTCAGTTCTTAGAATTAATCTTACTCTCCTATTATATTCTTAACTTATCTTCTCTTTCATATGCATTTTGCTATGCTGGATACCATCACTTTCATCTACACCCAGGTATTTGTATACTCCTTCCTGGTCCAACTCTTGTATTTCTGTGTCATCATCTATTACTATCTTTCCAGTTGAGGCCAGTTTACCTTTCTTGAAACTGGCTTTGGCACATTTCTCAAGTCCGAATTCCATACCAATATCATCACTGAATTGTTTCACTATTTTCAGTTCTCCAACTTGTTCTTGCTCGTTCTTGCTATACAATTTTAGATCATCCATATAAAACAGATTGCTGATTGGAGCACTTGTATTTAAGATCTTGCAACCATACCCAGATGTAGCCAGCTCTGATGTTAAAGGCACAAGGGCTAGACAAAATAGCAGAGGTGAGAATGAATCTCCTTGAAAGATTCCTCTTTTGATCTTGATCTGATCTGTTGTGATGCATCCATCACTGTAAGATAGCTTCATCGTAGTTTTCCAGTTGCTCATTGAGGTTCTCATGAACTTGATTAGTTTTTCATTAAATCTGTACATCTGTAAGGTCTTCAGTATCCAACTGTGAGGAACACTATCATAGGCTTTTCTGTAGTCTATCCAAGTCATACTCAAGTTCTTTTTCTTCTTTTTGCCGTCTTCTATGATCATTTTATTTATTGGGAGCTGATCATTGCATCCATATGAATCCCTGACACAACCTCTCTGTTCTTCCGGCAATATATCATTCTTTGTGATATGGGTGTAGCTTCTTTCGGTTAAAATCGATGTGAGCACCTTGTAGGATGTTGATAAACAGGCAATTGGTCTATAGTTTCTGGGGTTCTCTGTGTCTTTGTTCTTTGGTAGTAAATATGTTTGTGCTGTAGTGAACCAATCAGGCAGATTTTCTGGGTGTTCTATTACTTGGTTATATGCATTCAGTAGGTGTTGATGTAGTGCTGTGAGTTGCTCTAGCCAGAAGTTAGGAACTGCATCAGGGCCTGGTGACTTCCAGTTGCTTGCTTTCTTCAAAACAGTCTGCAACTCATCTTGGCTTATGTCCTCCCATGGTGGGCATTCTATATCAGCATATTTCTGCTCCTCCCTCTTTATCCACTCTGCTGAATGGTTGTGCTCTCTATCGTTCTCCAAGATGTTACGCCAAAATTGTTGCTTCTTTCTTAGGTGGTTTTTCAACTGATATCTGGTCTTTACCAAGGTTTCTGAGGAACTTTTTCCTATCGTTTGCAAACATCTGGTTTTGACTGAATTGTTTACTTCTTTTTACATATCTCTGATCAATTCTTTGGGCTTTTGCTTGAATTTTCATTTTAAGGGATTTTATTATTATTATTATTATTATTATAATAATAAACGTTTTCAGTGCTAATTATTGCTTCCTACACTCTCCTAGAACCGGGGCCAATCCTTGGTCCAGAGGTACCAGGGGAATTTGTTATTTGATGGACGGAAACCTTCTCAGTTACGTGAAGTTATGTGCGCCGTTCCGAGGAGGATGATCTTTTGCAGTTCATTAATGTTACTGTCTCCAGGGATCTTTCCTAAATTCTGGTCCATCCCCTCTCTAATAAGTCCCGCGCACCAACAATAACCGGCACAGTCTCTGTTCTCATTCCCCTCATTCTCGTGGTTTCAATCTCAAGATCTTTGTATTTTGAGAGCTTTTCAATGACTTTCGTCGAGGTGTTTCGGTCCGATGGTAACGATACATCTATATGTTTGCAACACCGGTTGGCATGGTCGTTGATCACTATATCAGGTTTGTTCGCTGACAGTTCCCTATCCGTATGTATCTGCATATCCCAGAGAACTGTGACTTCTTCGTTTTCGGTAACCGTCTTGGGCTTGTGTTCATACCACCTCTGTGGGACTTCAATACTGTAATGCTGGCACGCCTTGCAATGGATATATGCAGCTGCCTTATTGTGCTTCTCTAGATAGTCAGTTTTTGCAAGTTCGGGACAGCCAGATATGATGTGATCTACTGTTTCTTCGTGCTTGTGGCATATCCTGTACAGTGTACTAGTGTCGTCCCTCACAATCCTTGCAAAATAAGACTTGGTAGGGAGGCTCTGGCCCTGGGCTGCAATTATCACTAGTCCCTCTGTCTCAGCTTTCAGTCCCGTACTTCTGAGCCACTGGTTGGTTTTATAATCGTCAACATCTGCTTCCCTTTTTCTTTTGGGGTATCTTCCGTGTATACAGTATTCGTCGTTCTCTTTCTTCCCACTGCTTCACTTCTATATCTTGGGCCTGTTGCTTTACCCTCTGTTTTACCCTCCTAGCAAACTTAGTAACTCGTTCATTTGCTGCCCTATCGAGGTTTGGTACCTCAAATTCTCTTCTGAATTTCGCTGCCTCTTTTTGGATGGAGTAAAGCTTCTTTTTGGTCTCATGTTGAAGTACTAACTGGAGCAGAGCATCATCAGTGTTTCTCAGATATGTTTCCATCTCTATTGTAGTTGATTTGTACGCAGTTTCTAACTTGGTCAGGCCTCTACCTCCAATTCTCCTGGGGAGGTACATTCTGTTCACGTCTGCCTTCGGGTGGTGCATTCTGCGGATGGTAATTAAGTAGCTTCCGTGTTTTTCTGTCCAGCCTCTTAATCTCACTAATTTTCCAGTTTATAATATTGAAACTGTAGGTGACGACGGGCACCGTTAGGGTACTGTTGGCTTCAAACCTGTTGGCAGCGTTCAATTCAGTTCACTTTTCAGTACTAGTCTTACTCTGCGGTAGTATTCTTTCCTCACTTTCTCTTTCATAGCGGCATGCTGTTTTCTGTCGTCTTCATTTATTCCAAGGTACTTGTAGACCCCCTCTTGCTCTAGTTCTCTGATGCATGTGTCAGTGTCAAGATGCAGGTCTGATGTTTCCGTAAGCTTCCCTCTTTTGAAAGCTGCTTTTGCAGTCTTTTCCAATCCAAATTCCATTTGGATGTCATCGCTAAATTTCTTAGCAACAGTAAGCATGTCAGACTGTTGGTTGTCATCTTTGGCGTAGGTTTTCAAATCATCCATGAAGAAAAGGTGGTTGAATTTTGACCCTACATTTCAAATCCGCAACCACTTTCTTGCAGAACTGAAGTGGGCTCAAAGGTGTAAGAGCCATGAAACATAGGAGTGGTGACAAGGAATCTCCTTGGAATATGCCACGTTTAATATTAATAGGTCTTATTATTACTAGTATTATTAATATTATTATTATTATTATTATTGTTATTATTAAAGTGGTGGATGAGTGTGTTAAGTACCACAACAGAATTGCGGAGCTGATCGCAAATAAGAAGAGAGAAAGTTACTCAAGCGCAATTTCCTGGATAAGAGCTAAAGTATCCTTCGCCATCGTACTCTCTGCGATACTCTGTTTGAGAGACTCAAGATCCAGAAGACGACAGCTAGACTTTGTTGACTCAGATCTACAGATCGAAAATATTAGAGCCTGCCCGAATTAATTAATTAATTTTTTTTAAAGAACTTTTTTTAAAGAATTAGAAATTTAGGAATACGAGTTTTTATTCTTTTTAACTTGTTTCTTTTTAATATCGGAGATAGATGATTCTCTTTTGTAGTGACTTAATTAAAAACTCTGGACCTCCTGCAAGAGTTATTGATCGCATCTAAACCGCAAGGAATGTAATTGGGAAATCGTTATTGACACAGTGATTGTATTTTTATGATTTATGTAACTCTTAATGTTATATATTGCTTGATCCTTACCTGAGATCAGGCTCTATTTTCGTTTCGCTTAGTAAATTAAATTTCGGAGGGTTTTAGCACCACATGTAAGAGAGAGGATGCATCAGCCATTATGACTTCAGTCTGGTGATTTCTCCTGCGAGTAAGCCCTCCATTTCGAAGCGGGCGAGCAAAGCGAACCGTGAGACTGAACGCCCAAACGTTATTGTGTTCCCTTTCGCGTACTGCTCGAGTGTGACTTTGAACGATACCTGATCTGATCTCGACCTCGTCCCCAGGGTCTTCTCGTAATCAATATATATGGCGGCAGCAGAAGACCCTGGGTACAAAGTTGGACATCTCCCAAATGGAGAGCTTGCTTTCAGGCCAGCTAACAAGTTTCCTTTCGCGCACAATCAAAAGAATCCCCCGGATCGTGAAGAGAATCCTCGTCAAGCAAGACAAAAAACAGGCATGATATTGTTTAATATAGGGAGTAAAAAAGGAGAAAAAATGCTGCAGTTGTAGGGGACCATCCTGAAGCTAAATCGCTTTCAAGTCTAAGGCAGCAAATCTTGAATATTCTCTCCTCGTTGAATTCTCTTGTCAAGCTCCAGTAGCAACATGACAGTGTTGATAACCTGTCGCACAACTTCAACCTTCAAACAACAGTAATAAACATCAAAAAAGGCTTAATGCCTTAAATTTACGGTGGCTAATGTTATTAAAACAGTTACTCAATTATCATCTGACCTCTGTGAAACACAATTTGTGCTTGTTGCTAATGCATACGACATCATTTCCTTGTGATTCATCTGGTTAATAACTGTATAGTGACTATGAGGACAGCAAGCCACGACAGTGTTCATTATTAGGTCTGTAGTCAAACGTTGTGTGCAAGGGAAAGCGATGTAGTTATACCTTTAAAAACACAAAAAAGTGCAAGAATTAGACCCCGTTTATATGGAGAAAAGTGTTCGCGGTAGAGGGATCACCCATCTACTAGCCTGTGTACAGACGTCCCCCTCCCCTCTGAAAAAATCTCTCTCCTCGATTTTTGCTGAGGGAGGCGGACGTCTGCGCACAGGCTACCACCTACCCGGGCTACCCTGGGCGATCCAACTTTCCTTACATTTCCTTACCAAACTTGGGAAACCCTGCTTTTCTATGAGAAGCGAAAACTTGGCTCGGCTAGAAGGGTGGTTCGCTCAGCCGCTGGCATAGGCGTACGGGCCGGGGGGGCGAGGGGGGCTGCAGCCCCCCCAAATTTTGGGCAACTCAGATTTTTTGGGCAGCGAGAGAAAATTTAGGCAAAGCCAGTTTTTAAAGATGTCTCCATTTTATTTAGTTATTTTAAAAACCTGAAGATTAACCTGAAGTCGGCGTAATAATCCAGTTACATTACAGTGGTTGCTTAGCATGTGAAGAGTAATTTACATATTTGCAGTTTTTTTCGGTTGGGCACTATACTGCACTGCACTAGCTGGAATGGGCTATTTCAAGTCGAGAATTGATTAAAATAAACTTTCGCATAACTTTCTAGAATCATCTCCACCCGACGAACAGTGTATGGCAGATAGCATTTAGCAATGGGTATTGCCTGCATAGCAAGCGTTTCCGCGCGAGTTCGACTGGAAACGCTTGCTACGTAGGCTACAATGGGTATGAAAATTAAGAAGTGGCTGACTAATTCTCAGTTTGAATTACGAGAAGAATCTTAATTCGTTTAAAAAATCTATTGAGTGGTTTAAAATAATTCGCTTATTTGTTAAAGTAGACCGAAATGTTTACAAAACTGCTAACAAGAATGTCTCGGTACATACTAATCAAATCCTTCTTTCGATTCTAGCAATCAAGCAGAGCCATTTCCACGATCTTTCACACATGTTTTTAAAAAGACTAAAACTACTATGAGGTGAAATTGCAGGTCAAAAGCGCTTCGTTCTCTACAGATAACGGCCAAAAATGAAGATTTTCCTTTTCCTACCGAATTTCTAATAATAAAAACTTCATTGCAAAATATCTCGATAACGCTCTTAAGGTTTTGCTTAAACTTCACGAACATCCAGGCGACCGTAAGCTTGCAAGGTTCCCGTCCCGAGAATCATTGCTGAAGTAAATTAGGTAATGGAGTCATTGCATTGCTATGACAACGCCCATGTCATTGCGACCCTGATGGTCGCAGTTTTTCCAAATGTTTGTTTATGGCGACGTAGTTTATGCTCAGACTTGGTATTGACCATTAAAAACTGTGTCGAGCCACCTTCATATGCCAGGACGGCCTATGTTGTTGCAATATGGCCCTCATTTCTTTTCGACTCTTTCGTAAAAATTTGGGCAACTTGTGAGGTGTTTTTGGGCAAATGGTTTACCGCCCCCCCTGGCAAAAAATTTCCCGTACGCCTATGGCCGCTGGTCATTATTGTTGTGATGGAAGGTTCACCCTCCTAGCCGGGCGAACTGTTTACCATCTAAACAGTTTGGCTAGCCTAGCCGGGTCAACACGGTCAAGGTGTGACAATCGGAGCATGCACGAGCGCTGTTGTCTCGGGAATAGGTTAAGGGCAAAGGGGTCGACTTTTTTATCATACAAAGGTTCGCTAAATTTGACTCGCGCCGCCAGGGAGGGTGATCTTTCTTCCTGGGACAGGTTTTTGTTACGCTGGTAATCTTTTAGAGGACGGGTAGCTTGCAAACCAAACTGAACGCAGGGTTGTCGGAACAGTAACAAGAAGATTTATTCCAAGAATGAACGTAGTTTCCACGAAGTAAAACTTCACAACAGCACGTAACTCGATAAACTTACACGGCCTCCGCCAACTTCACTGAACTTGATAAACTTACACGGCCTCCGCCAACTTGAATAAACTCTGCTTTCGTCACACTTGACTAAACACGACCAACGTCGAACTCTCTTCGCTTGTGAAAACTAGTTAAAACTTAACTCGGGCGCCTACTTATATACTTTTACAATAAGATTCTAGAACATGCTAAATACTTTAATTATAGAAAGATTACAAAATATACCGCTTTAGAAACGCTTACACAATATCCTAAAATAAACAAACTACGAACTCTCGCGAACCTTCTAGAAAGTCACGCCAGTCACGCAATACAATTTTTCGTAACAGTTTTCTTCATAAAAACGGGGTCTAAGTAGCCCAAGTAATCCCTGAATCAAATCTGTACTAGTGAAAGTGAAAAATGACTGGAAGGCTTTTTTTTTCTATTCAAATCTCTTACCTCCATGTTCACTTTTCACTGGCAGGACATGTATAATGCGTTTAAGTCTGGGATCCTGGACATGGCAAGAAAGAACACAGAACTGTTGGCGTTTTCAAATGTTAGACTGGAAGGGGGAATAAAGATATTAAAAAAGCGTGTAAAAGATGGCCGCCAAAGAAAGGCTACCAGCTAACCTCGCGCTCAGCTTAACGTTACTATAGTTACAGTAGCGGATCCAGAGAAGGGGCTTGGGAAGGGGTGCAGCTCATCATTTTTACCGGCCAAACCTCATTTTACGAAACACGACAGAAGAGCACATAAAAAATACTACTAGTTAGCTACGCAGGCTACCAGACGGGAAATTGACAAAAATTAAGGTTGTCTCTCAGTAAGGAGAAATCACACTTGTATCATCACCCAGCATTTTGTACCTTGATCAGCTTTGGTAATCGAACCTTCACCTGTACTTCAAGACCCGTGCCGATATTTTCCGGTGAAACGACAAAAATCCGTATTTTGAAGTCCACGCAAACCTTTGTCCTGTCTGTTTCAAACTTTCTTCCATGTACGCTCTCCCGGCAACAACTCGGTGTATCTTCTAAATGCTTTAAGAATGTTGCCTCCTGGTTGCGTAACATTAAGTTTCAAATGATCAAAGTAATTTACAAAAATGCGGCACTGTTGGTCTGCAGTGATCCAAATAAGGCGCCCTCTAGTCTAGTCACGTGATAGTTGTGGTTGTAAGGGGTCCTGGGTTGAAGCCGGCAAAGGCATCCAAGGCAAGCTTGCTGTATTGTTGTGATGACGAGAGGTAGCAACGTTCAAACTTGTCTGTCAAAGAAGTTACACTAGATTAAGATAGTTAAGTTTTTCAGACACTTCTTTTCGCGAGTATGCGACTCCAAGGGATGTCGGAAATTCAAGCACTTAAGATATATAAGTTCTTACACGCGGGTTTTTACTGTATATGATGCTTTTCTGAAAAAAGAAGAAAATGTGAAATTCCTACGTTAGGACAAAAACTTCAGCTTCGGGGAGACCTTTGGTGACAATTACGTACCCCACCCTGGGTACTCAGATCCCTCGGTTGTGCGGGGAGGGGGATGATGGAGCCATTCTGTAGCTCAATGTAACATAGAATTAAAATTCTTACTATTAACAGAGGTTAAACTTTCCACTATTAAGTGACTAGCATCTAATAACTCTGCAGTTGAACATCCGGGAATAGACTGATTCCTTTTATATTCGACTAGTGCTCAGTCCATGGCCAGAGGAGAGCACCTTATCGCCGTAAAACTTTCCACGTTGAATTTCCTTCCAGTTCAAGTTTATTTCTAATGCATTTATCTGGTTAACATTAAGAACCTCACAGATAACAGGATCGATAAGGTCACTAAAGAGATCATGGCATTCTTCGTCGCCTGTAAGCAACCCTATCGAGTTTTCCACTAAGTGTGCCGTTGTTATTCTATTTTTGTTCGTTATATATTGTATCATAATTAAGTCCACACTCGATAAGCTGTTCGATGCCATATCCTTTGGATGTACCCTTGTCTTTGACTCTGGAAAACGTATCCGCATGGTGTGAGAAGCTTGCCCATTCTTGTTCGGTTGCATATGTTGTTCCATAGCTACTCATAGGTCTTTTTATTGTGTATTTAAGAGCGAATAATGTTGCAATTCCAAGTGCAGCACTTACACTTGCAAGTAAAACGTATAAACCACTCCATGCGAAGATTTGAAGTAAAAGCGACATATTTGCAATTGTTCTGACCGAAAACTGCAGTCCTCTGTCAGGTAATAATGGCCGGTATTAAAATTAAAATTCTAGAGCTTTTATAAGTCTCTCAATCATCAGTGTTCATGATATGTGATTATAAAAGAAGGCGTTTGTCTAACAAAGCGTTTACTACACTGCAGAGTTCAGTTTTCGCTTCAACGATAAAGTTAATCGTTTCCTAAAACTGAGAGGCCGCCTGATTCAGGAAGTTTTGATTGCAATCCTTATCACTGGCTTTTTATCATTCTATAATTTCATCTTTTATATCTTTTGCAACCAGAGAGTGAGGAAATTGAAAAATTGCTATTTTGCAAATGGATTCAATCTGATGAATAGTAGAGTCAAAAAAAAAATCCTACTGTTGAATCAGCGCGCGAGAGATGCGGTGACATGCGTTGCTCATATTTTATTAAGAAAGTAACTCGGAGCTTCGCACCTCACTGTCAAGCCCAGATGTTCTTAAAAATATGGGACAAAATGAATTGCAATTTATGCGTTTCCAGTCAGATATGGAGAAGCAAAAACAAAACGAGACGCATGCGCACTGTGCTTTTT